GAAAACTGGATTAAATATGTGAAAAAATCTCTTTTCATGTATCAGACAAAAGACCGTGCATTACTGTGAGTCCTAAGGGAAGAGAAACAAAAGATGTGATCCTTATGATCATGCTGGCTTTCTGTCTGGAGACATCTTCCAGATCTCCACACACAGGAGGGAGAACCCAACCAAAGCAAAACAGTTTTACTAAGGAGAAGAGACAGACATCAGAGGTTAGTAAATCAGAAACAGCTTGAATTCACTGGGTGTAGAATCAGATGGGAAGTAAATACATGGACAAAAAGCTCCAGAAACCTACATGAAGGGCTCCATTGAGTATTTGCCTGGATAGTAAACAGTGCCTATATAGACAGAGATACATATAAATGTGTGTGTGTGTGTGTATCTGTATGGATCCAGTCAGGGGTCCGTGCAAATTTATAAAACCATGTAATTTTTACATAATCAGAATCATTCTCCCTTCTTTCCTCTGTCTCTCCCTTAACTATTCCTTTGAAACATGATTTAAATGATCTCGGTGTTACATGTATATGTGTATTGTGCTTCATGGCATGGATGGATCATAATAAATACAACCAGTGTCTTTTGGCTAAACACTTTTTTGTTTCCTGTCTTAAACACTTAAACATTTTGTGACTATCATTTTCTTATGATAAATCCCAGGAAGGTGAATCACTATAATAAAAACTACGAGAAGGGCACCTAGGTGGCTCAGTCATTTGAATGAAGGCCTTTTGATCTCAGTTCAGGTCTCAATTTCAGGTGATGAGTTTGAGTCCTGCATTGCTTACTTAAAAAAAAAAAATGCATTCTTGATAAATATTGCCTGATTGCATTGCAACTATTTGTGCTCACATAGCACAGAATGAGTGCCAATTTTAATCCATTTTTTTAGTATTTATCTTTTCATTTGAAGCTTTTTCACAAGTTTACTTGAATAGAGGAGAGTGTTCTGTCTGAAATCTTTCATCCCACTTTATTTTTAATATTATATTATAATATTATTAAAATGTATTTATATAATGTTGTTATAAATTTGACTAGTACATACATTTCCAAGCTAGACTCTTTTTTTCTTTGTTGAAAAACCAGCAGTTTGATGTTAGATGAATCTCATGTTGCCTTCAAAATCAAATGTTAAATGCATGTTAAATGTTAAATGCTTCATATAAAGGCAAAAGCTGACATTATAGTTATATTTCCTGTCAAAACTTGTTAAACTATTTAGTGTTTTTAAAATTAAAAAATAAGGGGTGCCTGGGTGGCTCAGTGGGTTAAAGCCTCTGCCTTGGGCTCAGATCATGATCTCAGGGTCCTGGGATCGAGCTCCATGTCAGGCTCTCTGCTCAGCAGGGAGCCTGCTTCTCTTCCTCTCTCTCTGGCTGCCTCTCTGCCTACTTGTGATCTCTATTTGTCAAATAAATAAACCAAATCTTAAAAAAAAAAATTAAAAAAGAAAACCTAACATTGACTACATCCCTACTAAGTGCCTGGTACGATTCAAAGTGCTGTAGATGTGTTACCAAATTTTTTTCCTCATAAAGTTCAATCTTCATAACAGTTTCATAAGGTAGGAACAATTTCCTCCCTCTCTCATGGTTGAGGAAACTGAAGCACAGAGTAGGAACATAACGTACTTACTAAAGTTACAGACAGAGTAATTATGGAACTAAGATTTCAATTCACTCTTGTTGGGGTGCATGGGTGGCTCAGTCAGTTGAGTATCTGACTCTTGGTTTTAGCTGAGGTCATGACCTCAGGGTCATGGGATCAAGCCCCATGTTGAACCCCATGTTGGGCTCCATGCTTAGTGGGAACTGCTTGAGGATTCTGTCTCCCTCTCCCTCATGACCCTCCTCACACTTATCACTCTCTTGCTACCCTCTCCCTAAAGTAAATAAATAAGTCTTTAAAAATAAACAATAAATTATGTATAAATAAATAAACTTTTACTATATTATACTATCTCAGAGAGCATTTTTTTTTCCTGGAACTTATTAAAATTACTGGATATCTTAAGCTAGAACTTTTTTTTTTTTTAAGATTTTATTTATTTGTCAGAGAGAGAAAGAGAGAGAGAGAGAAAGCACAGGCAGGCAGAGTGGCAGGCAGAGGCAGAGGGAGAAACAGGCTCCCTGCCGAGCAAAGAGGCCGATGTGGGACTCCATCCCAGGATACTGGGATCATGACCCAAGCTGAAGGCAGCCATTTAACCGACTGAGCCACCCAGACATCCCTAAGCTAGAATTCTAATTCATGATTGTTTTGAGATAATTAAATATAATTGATAGAAATATGGAAATATAAATAATGATTTTAGATAACTTTTAACCTCCTGGCAAAAGTTACTTTCAATAGCAAATTCTTAAAATTTATTCACCATATGCTCTGGTTACAATAAAATGTCATAAAAATATGAAGACACATTAAAAAAACTAAAAAAACATAATGAAAAGAGATGAAGCAAAAGGAAGTTTACTGGCTGGGAAATGTTAAAATGAATGAGCAGATTTACAAAAGTATACTTGACCATTTTGCTAAGGAATTAGAACTTATTGAATGTGTGTATCTGCAAACTCAAGAAAAGCCAGACTCTGTGAGCCCAGAACACAATGGTCCTAAGCTAAGTTGTTTTAATGTCCTTTGAAACCAGTATGGTAATATAGAGTCAAGTTTTTTCATGTTATTTATAGTTATTGCTTTCTGCAGCAACTTCCATCTAGACTTTCTGCATTTTTTTTTTTTCCATTGTAGGCTTTAACTGCAATCAAATTCCAGGCTTTTTTCCCACCAGTGGTGGGTAGAGGCTGATATTAGTCTTCCTGGCATCTAATATGTCTACACAGAATATTGAACATCCTTGGTCTCAGGTTGGCCAAGCTATCTAGTTTCCTCCTGGAACCAGAGAACTGTGTGGTGAGACCTCATCCATTTGACTAGGGCTCTAACTCCTTACCTAGTTCTGGAAAGTTTTCAGAAAGCTAGATTCCAAGTCCTCTACTCCATGGATGAAACCCTCTTCTCTATGACTGGAACAATCTCTGAATAGATTGATATTTTCCTATAAAGATGCCTTCATCTGCGCATTCTATAATCTTGAGCTACTTTTTAAACACATCTATTTGCAGAGCTGGGCCCCTGGAAACCAGTCACAGGCTAAGAAAAGATCAACTTTGTTAAGGCGAGATGGAACAAGAGGAAGAATCCATGCATTTTTTAAAAAAGATTTTATTTATTTATTTGACACAGAGAGAGAGAGAGAGAGAGCACAAGCAGTGGGGAGTGGCAGGCAGAGGGAGAGAGAGGGACAGAGCAGGGGGAGTCTGATATGAGACTTGATCACAGGACCCAGGGATCATGACCTGAGCCAAAGGCAGTCACTTAACCAACTGAGCCACCCAAGTGCCTATGCATTTGTAATAGGAATGAATTATTCTTTGACTCTTAATGGATTTTTAAAAATGTAATATTCTATTTTTTTTCTCAATAAACTTATTGTCCAGATAGACAAAAATTCTAATATCCATCAATTTTCAGGTTGTCTTCCATTTTTTATATAATAAAAGAACTCAGGGCTTCTTTGGATTAGAAATTTAAAAAGGGGAATAGTCTGTAATCTACCAGTTTACCTTGTTATTTCTACACATAAACCCACTGTCTGGCCGTGGTTTCTACCAGTAATCATAGAGTAGTACTGTGGACAAGCCATGGAGATATCCCCACAGGATACTCACTACCCAATATAATTCAGACTTCGGAGAATCTCCCTAGGCTTCCAAAACTGAAGAGCTAGGGGTACACACCCCAAAGACGTCTACATATCCATGCCACAGTAGAATTCCTCAGATCCATGGGTGCTAAGTGTAACCAAAATAAAGATCTCCACCACAGTTTAGTTTTTATAGTGTGTAGAATTCCATCACATCTTCTAATGTTCGTTACTTTTTTTCTTCCATATGTGCCACCTGGCTCCCTGCCCATCTCTTCTTGAACAATTTGACTTTATCATCTCCATAGGCCCACTCTTCCCAAACACGGGTCTTTTCTTAATCTCCCTTGAAAGTATTAGAAGCCCCAACCTTAGGGACAGGAGGATCTCAGTCTGCTTTTCAAAAGATTCTTTTCTCTACTGCAATGATGTAACAAGTAGCAGAAGCAACAACAGAAATGGTCCAAGGCCTCATGTTGCTGATGTCAAGTGATGGATAATTCTTGTTGAAACTTACTTGTTTGCAATATATATCAGTATCTACAGTTCTACTTTTTTTATTGGATTATTTATTTGCCTACCTACATTGGAACATTAGATTATAAACTGTCTTTATTATTTTGTTTACTATTCCATCATCAGTATAAGAAAGTTCCTAGTGTATAGGAGGTATTCAATATATATTTATTACATACACACACACACACACACACACACACACACACACACATTCATTCTCTTTTCATTCTTCTTCTAATGTGGCACTGCCACTTTCTTATTCCTGCATTCATCAATGCATCTAAACTTCATCTCATACTGAATGCAGTCCATAGCATTTTCCTAGTTAATTCTAATAATCAATTCTGTCTCTTTCATCTATTCATTGAATACTCAAAAGGCATATGTGTCACGTACATACAAATATAATATTTCTGTACCAAGTTATCATTAAGTGAAATCACTTGACTTTAAACAACTAGTTCACAAATAAACATTATTATTGTGTCCCTTCACTATTCTATGACCCTAAATTCTCACACTTGATTTTTAAGCATCCCATCATACACTGGGAAGTCATTTTGAGTTTGACCCACTGTATAAAATTTGGTTCTTTTTGTTGTTATGTTGCTTTTCCCATAAAAAAGGCAGAGGGTCTTAAATAGAACATTATATACAGGGAACATGTCATAGATATAAAAATTTTTTTTTGGTGTTGACTTTTAAATGTAACATCAACTGATTAATGAACCAAAGAGAGGCACATTAGAAGCATATGAACAGGTCGGAGCTGCTGCCGCCAAGTCCGGATCCAGTCTCGCGCGCCGCTGACGCCCGCCCTCCCGACGTGCACTCCCGATTCCTTTTGGTTCTAAGTCCAAAATGGCAACTCTCAAAGATCAGCTGATTCAGAATCTTCTTAAGGAAGAACATGTCCCCCAAAATAAGATTACAGTTGTTGGGGTTGGTGCTGTTGGCATGGCTTGTGCCATCAGTATCTTAATGAAGGACTTGGCAGATGAACTTGCTCTTGTTGATGTCATGGAAGACAAACTGAAGGGAGAGATGATGGATCTCCAGCATGGAAGCCTTTCCCTTAGAACACCAAAAATTGTCTCTGGCAAAGACTATAATGTGACTGCAAACTCCAAGCTGGTTATTATCACAGCTGGGGCACGTCAGCAAGAGGGAGAAAGCCGTCTTAATTTGGTCCAGCATAACGTGAACATCTTTAAATTCATCATTCCTAATGTCGTCAAATACAGCCCAAACTGCAAGTTGCTTGTTGTTTCCAATCCAGTGGATATCCTGACCTATGTGGCTTGGAAGATAAGTGGCTTTCCCAAAAACCGTGTTATTGGAAGTGGTTGCAATCTTGATTCAGCCCGGTTCCGTTACCTAATGGGGGAAAGACTGGGAGTTCACCCATTAAGCTGTCATGGGTGGATCCTCGGGGAGCATGGAGACTCCAGTGTGCCTGTATGGAGTGGAGTAAACATTGCTGGTGTCTCTCTGAAGAATCTGCACCCTGACTTAGGCACGGATGCAGATAAGGAACAGTGGAAAGAGGTTCACAAACAGGTGGTTGACAGTGCCTATGAGGTGATCAAACTGAAAGGCTACACTTCCTGGGCCATTGGACTGTCTGTGGCAGATTTGGCAGAAAGTATAATGAAGAATCTTAGGCGGGTGCATCCAATTTCCACCATGATTAAGGGTCTCTATGGAATAAAAGATGATGTCTTCCTTAGTGTTCCTTGCATCTTGGGACAGAATGGAATTTCAGATGTTGTGAAGGTGACTCTAACTCCTGAGGAGGAGGCCCGTTTGAAGAAGAGTGCAGACACACTCTGGGGGATCCAAAAGGAGCTGCAGTTTTAAAGTTTTCTTACGTACCACTTCACTGTCTAGACTACGACAGGGTTTTAGTTGGAGGTTGTGTACATCGTCGTTATTATCTGATCTGTTACTTAAATAATATCAAAGTGGCCTAAGGAAAAAACATCGGTTTCCTAAAGTTCTAAATAGGAATGGTTCAGCAAACCCTGCAGCTATACCCTAATGCTGGATGATACTTGCCTTTGTAGTCCTAAATGGGTTATCTCAGAGGCACCACTGCCAATATTGCATATGCAGCAGGTGTTCTTCCAACCAGATGCGTATTTCCTGTGTGTTCTAGGACTTCTGGTTCCTTCATCCAACACCCAACATGCCCAGTCCATCTTTCCCAGTCAGTCACATCCTGGGCTCCAACATATAAATTCATTATTGCACGTATTGTGCATAACTGTTCCAAAGGATCTTACTTCGTGTACCATGTATGTCAGAATATAGTGTACATTGCCATATAATGTAAAAAGACCATACAACCAACAAAGTGTTGTACCAACTAAAATACCAAATAAAATTTGAACAGTGAAAAAAAAAAAAAAAAAAAAGAAGCATATGAACACTGACCCCATTGTTATAACCTGATTTCATAACACAGTTTAATTAAAAAAACATTTTTAAAAAATTAATTTAAAAAAATTAATTCTAATTTTAAAATTAAGAAAACACATTATTAGGAGTCAGAAGACCTCGTTCTAGTTTTGGTTTTATCATCCAATGGCAAAGTTTTATATCATTTGTAGTATGACTCGCTTGATGTAGTTTTGAAACATTCTTAAAACAGTGGAATCAATTTTCCAAAGAAATCCTTCAGTAGAACCTAGTAGATTACACAGGTAAAACGAAGGCGATCTGGTTAAAGCTGAGAAGGGAGAGCTGGGGACCAAATATGCTTGTCCATCTACTCTTCTCTCCTCTCACCTTTCCACTTAAAGCAGACTCCAAATCAACTTCATGGGACACAGTTTAAATTAGATGCTCTATTTAAAATTTTTCCTAGCTTTAACATTTCATGATAAATTATAACAACTACACACACACACACATATCAGATTGAGCTTTTTGTTTTTATTACTGTTATTTGTTTTGTTTTTCGGGTAGAGTATGATTATAGCTCATTAGGAGAAGGAAACTATCTCTTTTTCTCTAATCCATTATATGGCCAGATAAGACATCAAGCCATTGCCTGGAGTACACAGGGATGTTTTGACAGTCAGCTAGGATTCCTATACCTGTGAATTCCACTAGCATAAATGGCCCCACATTCCAACTCTTTATTTTGTGTATGCAAATATTTTAGAGACAAACTCAAAGGCAGAATTAATTCTGAGCATTTCTTTTTTGGGGGGGTAGGAGAACAGAGGGAACAAGGGTGAATGTTCATTCCTTTAAATTAGCGACAACAGATACAAAATTTAAGATCCCTTTGAAATGCAGAAAATGTTCAATCTCTAGACCATCTGCAACAAATTTACAGCAAATACTCCTGCATCCCTGGAAACAGTTTTATGCCACAAACTAGGAATTTCTCCAAAGTTACAATTACATGATTCAAAACAGGTAATTTTCACCCCAATCTCATGTTTTCATTCCAGGTTTTAGTTAATGCTGTCTTGATGGTTGCCGTTTGATGAATCAGCTTTCCTGTTAACTAGAGGTGCAGGGCCATCATCTAATGAAAACACTCTGTATTTTATGACTCCCTGGGCTGCAGTTCTGCATATTAAAATGGAATTTCAATCTCACTGTTAGAAATAAAATCAAAACTAGCATCTGTGGTTTGAACAGAACTGAGAAAAATGCTGCTCATTTAATTTTAACAATATTTTTCATGCTAGATAGTATAAAAAAGAGGCCTGGATATAATTTTAAAATGCCTATAAATTAGAAATAAATTGGTAGAAATCAGCACAATAGTTCAGTGCATGGGTTAGTTCGTTATATCCACAAATTTGAATGCTAAAAGTTTTCTGTTCTAGTTAGAAGTTTGCCAAAATATTCATAAATTAAGGTTTCCTGCTGTTCCTCAGATAGCACTGGTAGCAACTCACTTCCATTCCTTCTATTACTACTGTTGAGGCCCTCTGATCACTTTTTAAAAGTCTCTTTTCTGTCTAGGAATGATTGCACACTCACATTCAAGAGGAAAATGAAGAAGAAATAATTTCATAGCTCAGAATAAAAGTCATAGCACCAGATTAGTTAAAAAAATGGAGCATCCTAGATGGGGTTCATCAATCATATTTACACAACAACATTACAAGATCACACTGACACAAAATGACAAACTTCTCGTTAGTGAGATCATCAACAATCAATAACGTATTAACCAGTGTGCTCAATGTTTGCCTGTCCAACTCTTTCTCCTTGTCCTTCTCTTTTAATCCTCCTCTCCCCTTCCCATCACACACTACGCACACACCCACAGACACGTACTCGCAATCCACTTTAACTAATTATGCAAACTTCTGAAGCTTTTGTGTAACTCAAATTTTATTTCAAGATAATATGACAAAGAAGAAATATCAGTATTGGATGCTATGCACTCCAGCTTTATTACAGCTCGAAAACCTTCAACCTATTTGTTTTCACTAAGTCACTCTAGATGATCTTACTATAGCATAAATATTATCATGGAAAAAGAACAATACACAACAAACATAAATGTAATAGCCACTATTTATGAAACACATATCATATGTATCGTCCTAATCCTATGTCCAGTCTTTGTCTCTCTAAAATTTTCCCAACAACCCACAAAGTAGATGTTACTAATATCTTCCTTTTTAAAAATGTGGTAACTAAAGTTCAGAGTAGTTAAGTAATTTATGCCCGGCCATAAAACTGACAAGTTTCGAAATGAGGATTTAAACGGATGTTTTTGCAATTCCAAAGCTCATACTCTTGAATTTTAAATCATATTCCTTTATACAACTAGTCTTGTGGATATGTTTGAGTATTTGATACAGCTGGAGATCTCTGGAGTTGAGCTTATGAATGAAAAATGTTTTGAACTCAGGAAAGAACTAGGACAATGTTTTATGCTTGTTCTCCTTTTACTGCCCCTTCTACTCCTTCTGCTGATTTTTCCTTTTTTTTTTTTTTCTTCATCTTCTTACTCTTTGTTTGCTCTACATTTTCTTCATTAGTGGAGCCCTTGTCAGCATTAACAGAGCCATCTTCTTTCTAGTTAATTGTTACAAAGGTACTTGGACAAAGTACTACATGTGTATATAATCCTTCAAAATTATGTTCAATGCCATTGATAATAGTCCATTTTATGGACAAGAAAGTTGACTCAGAGAAGGTAAATGATGTTCCTCTTGTAAAAATTGCACACATAATATGATTAGAATGTTCACATTGGATAGAACGACAGAGTAAGAGGTAAAATGTCAGCTGGTAGCAAGAAGAAAGGACAGTAAGTTTTATGACATTTCAGCTCAACTCATCTCTTTTACAAATCAAAGAGCACACCTGAGAACCTCCCATTCTCTTCAGCATCAAACACCTTATTTCAGAGCCAGAGCATATAGTTTGGTTCTCAAGTTTCATCAGGAGATTTAGATAGCTTAGATAGCTTACTGAATCAAATTCACCCTTTAAAAAAGTCTTCTAATTTAACTGACACCTTTAAATGCAATATTCTTATATGAAGTACAACCACCAACTACATACTACCAGATTCCATTGAGTGTCACCTATCTTGCAGGATTTCTCCTAGAATACTACCAGAACACCTGCAATTATCCCAAGCCTAGACAGTCTCTAGGTTTGGACTTGAACTTTTCTTGATTTTTCTTATTTTCTACCAAGCAAATAAGTGAAACAAGCTAGTCCATGAAAAGTCCTAGAGGTTTTTTTATTATGTAGAAGATAAACATCCCTGAGGGAAAAAAGATTCATTGCCCCTAGGGTGAGTGCTGCTAAAAGCCAACACCACCTTAGTTCTTTACAATAAACTCTAAAAAAGACACATATACCATACATTAAGCAACGAGGTGAATTCATAGACTCATTCACTGATTAACAGATCTTGAAAAGCCTTAAGAGATCCACCTTCCTAACTTGAAAGAGTTAAAATAGTTTTCTCTCCTCTGTAGGGATGACTTAATTGCTCCAAAGACCAGTAAGTGATGTCTGCAAAGTCACGAGACAAAGTTTATAGGCAGAAAAGGCCATTTTCCTTTTTCTTTATAAAACAAGGGAGTGTAGGATTGGACATCTATTGTCTTTCCCCCAAAACTTTTGAAGATAGGTGTTATTCGCTATTGTTTTTACAGATGGGGAAATTGAAGCTCAGAATGGTTTACTTATCTATAGTCATACTGTGACCTACCCATGTTCAAAGACCAGGATTTTTACACATTGTAGCAGCCATCCTAAAATATGTAGTACAATCTCTACATATAATAAAAAAATGAGAGACATTCTAACACATTATGAGGATGAAAATATAACTAAACATCTAGGAAACATTCATATCTTATTTCATATGAACTTGATTCACCTTGTTAAACACAACCAGTCCAACTTTTTGCAATATTTATGTTTAGACAGTAATTTAAACTCTTGACATGAGTCCAGCTTATTGTAGAGTGATATAAAATAATAAGACATGTAGAGTGATATAAAATAAGACATGATACTCAGTCCCTATGTGCTTTGGGTCAAGTTGACCAAATTGAACACATGGGGAGTACTTATAGGATCATCTAATGTTAAAGTATGTGGGTCAGGTTTTAGGTGGAGTCGAAAGAGATGCACTGGGGTGTGTTCCTGCATCCAATTCATGAGGGATTTTGTCTTATACTGTGTGTTGAAGCACGAGTAAAATTTATATATGTGAGTGTGGGAATAAGGTTGCATTTAAGATAACTAGATGACATGGAGATAAGGAACATAGTACAATTCTGAAATCTAAGAAATTCTGAAAGCTGAAAGTTTTTATAACTCATTTATTGGTAAAATAAGTCTTGAGCTGATATAAAATTTTTAATAGTCTTTAGGTATCCCACTTGGTGTCAATATTTATGTAGCTGCAAAAATGTACATGTATTTATTGTGTTTAAAGATGCTGCTTCAGATCCAAATGGGTCTGGCAAATATTACACAAATATGCCTCCACTAGTATCTTTCTAACATCCACAATTTCTGAATTATTTTATCTACCCTGTCCCACATGTTCTGAGTTAGGAATCATGAACCTTCCTTGTGTTGAGAGTGAGAGAAGAAAAGGGTACTAAGACATCGAGGAGGAGGTCAGAGTACACAATGAACCTAAAGATGCGCCAGTGATAGGAAATAATGGAGTAGCATTAGGTGTTACTGATTCTGCAGGATGAGTGCAATATGGTGACAGTGACATTTTGCAAGAAAGAATTGCCAGTCAATGTATTGAATAGATTGGACAGAAGAAAAGGGGGAGTAAAACAAACAGAAAAACCCAGCATTATGACCTTTAAACATGTTTAAAGAGTCCAGTATAGCACAGAGAAAGTGTTCAATAAATATTAGTTCTCCTTCTGATATCAGTGCCTCAAGTTGA